CCTGAGCTGAAGCAATTCTCCTGCCTTAGCCTCCCAGAGTGCTAGGGTTACAGAGTGAGTGTCTAACTATATTTTTATACCCATTACCCATCCCTATTTTATTCTCTTTCCCCTTCCCGCCTCCAGTAACCATCATTCTACTCTCTGTGTCCCTAACATTTAGCTCCCAAGTATGAGTGAGAACTGGTGAGATTTATCTTTCTATACATGGCTTATTTCACTTAACATAATGTTGTTCTTACTTCCTTTTTTGCTATCAGCTGGAGAAAACTCTCTGCTCTTAAAGGGTTCATGTGATTAAGCCAGGCTGACATGGATGGTCTCCCTTTCTTACAGTTAACCTCGCCATATAACATAACCTACTCACTGAGTCATCATATCCCCAGGCTGCACTCACACTCACAGGGGAGGAGATTATACTAACACGTGGGCATGGATCACTGTGGTCATCTGAGAATCTGAACCCACACCCCCTGCCCAAATCCAGGAATTCATAACTTCACATGGGCTTTTGCTACAGCCTAACAAGTGTCTTTTCCCTGTCCTGTCTCATCCGTATTTAACCAGACAATACAACTCTGTACCTTTGCGTATGCTGGTCTTTCTGTTTAGAATGCTCCCCCTGATTCTTTTTTCTCCAACAAAATCCTCTTCAAACTTCAAGACTCAAAGGTTATACTTGTTGAGGGAGGGAGGGTCTTCTCAGCACCCAACCAACGATGATAGTTAAATGTTCCCTTCTCTGTGTTTTTGTGGGACTGTGTCCATCTCAGCACACCAGAATCTAATCCAGACTATTATTATCTGAGCCCCCAGACTGTGAGATCTCTGACAGCAGAGTTTGTGTTTCATTCATCTTCGCTTTCTCAGGGCCTCCTACGGATCTTGGCACATAATAAGTGCTTGGAAAATGTTTGTTGAATTGGACTGAACTTTCTATCCTCTGTTCTGGGGATTCATGATTGGAAGAGCAGCACAGACTTGGAATCTAGGTTTAGGGGTGAAGTAGAACATCTGTAACTTTTACCTCCCAACATGCATTCATCCATGGTCTGCTCATGGAATCCCGATTTGCCATTACAAAGCTACCACATTCTCACTTTCCATTCATGGATCAATACGAGTTGTCCCTATTGCCCTACCCAAAGATACACTCACCTATGACTCAGGCTTTGCTAATGAGAGTCTGCCCACATTCTTACACAGAAACCACGGGGGTTTGAAAAGGGGGTTCCTTCTTTGTGTGGGGCTTGTGGAGCTAGTAGAATAAAGGCTTAGAGCCACTAGTGGCTTTCTCTGCCACCTTCTGAGGAAAACCTCCCACATAATGAACCAACAAAGAAAATTGTAGAACTAAGACATGACAATAAATACTGAGTCCTGAAGACATCAAAAACCCCTGGATTGAGCCACGCCCAAAGGTTGTTATCCCCTGAACTGGACAATAAACAAAATCTCTTTTGACTAAAATTTCCACTGACATGAACACTTTCCCATGTATTAATTAGAGTTGGATTTTTGTTACTTGCAACCAAAGGGAAAAGAAAACCTGAAAAACACAAGACAGTAATCTCTGGTTATGGAAAAAATCTGAAAATAACCACGACCCCCCTCAGAGACTAAACCCCAGGGCCTTGGATCTCTAAGCTCATTATTAGTCTCCCTGAAAATTGAACAAATGGTTCCATCAGAAAGGCCACTGCCTCCAGCCTTTTCGTACTAACTTGTTGGGTTCTTTTTACCCTGTGTTAGAATCCAGAGACCACGGATCTTGGGACTGATACTGTAATGGGTGACAGGACAGAGAGTGACTGTTGCTCCTAATCTTCAGAATCAGCAATCTAAGTATTGTAGCCAAGTTTTTCTGAGGGACAGCAGGTGTGCAATTTGCAAGCAAATGACAATCGACACGACTATTGATTGCTCTGGCCAGCTAATTAGGAGCTGGCAATTTCCTGAGCCCTATGACTTCTCCCTGTTGCCTGTACTAGACTCTCCCACAGGACCTCATTGGTTTGCCCTCAAATCATCCCTAGAGAGCAACTCCTCTCGTCAGCCTTCCCCCTGTCCTTCTCCAGTCTGCTGGCCTCTCAATCGCTGTGTCACCAGATTTCCAAGGGGCTTTCAGTTTATTGCATAATCAGCTCTTCCTCTGAGACTGCCCCCACCCCCGTCATTACCTCAGGGTGTTGGAGCTTTGCTGTGAGCGGCTGACAGATCATTAAAGATCCCAGCTGTTTCTGGTCCCTAACAACCCCTTTCAGCTGGGTCTCCGTCCAAAAACAGCTGCAAAAGCGCCAGAAAGGAAGGGAGGAGACACATTTAGCATGATAACAAATCAGCAGGGCGTGGCCGGTGCACCCAGAAAAGCTGCGATGCAGATGTGTCCACCCAGCAACTCTCCTCACACTCCAAGAGAAAGTCTAATTTGCTCTGCCTCCACGTGAAAACTCTTCATAACCAAAGGAATGAAATCAAGAATCACGACCCACCCCTGCTCCCAGGAGAGGAGCCTGGACAGGCTTCTTTCTTTCTCCATAATGATTCACAAAAAGGCCTGTCCGTGGTTACAAAAAGATTATGATCTTGTGCACACATACATGTAACTATGGACTCAGTGATACCAAATTATAACAGCAACATGGAAGAAGTACTGGTAGCTGACATCTATCACACACAGGTCATTGAGTCAAATGCCCAACATATGTTTTCTTATGTATTCACAGGGAGCCACTGATGGATGAGGAAAGCAAGGCACAAAGAGATTGAACAACCTTCCCAAATTTGTACAATTCAGAAGTAGTGGAGCCAGGATTTGAACTCAAGTCTGTCTGCCTCGCGCCTATACTCCGAACTTTGACCCTGTTCTGCTGCCTGCATGCCAGCCCATCTAAACCCCATCCAGTTCCCTAAGTGGTGCAGAGCCTGGCACCCAGTAAAGGTTGTTTGATGGATTATTTTTTAATGAAAACAAATTTAGGCCACTAATCTTATATAAATATTGCTTCTTCTTCTAAAGTGTCCTTTACCCACAGTCACCTTATCTACGTGGAAAACATCTAATGATTCTTCAAGATTTATCTTAATCATCATGTGCAGTTATGAAAAGACTTTGCAAGAAAGCCCCCATCCCACATCCAGTGGACGATCTTACTCATCTCCTCCACACTTGTACATGTCTCCAGTATTGTTTACGTGGCACAATTCCTTATGTAGCAAAGATTTTAATTTTCTCCCTATCCCATGAAAGCCAGGCAGAATCACCTTGAACTCCCCATTTTCATGGCTTCAAGAAATGCTCCCTCAATATTTCTGCTAATTCCCAAGGGGTTTACATATCCTACTCTGTTCTACCTCTCAAGCTCCAACTTCCTCTGTTATTGTTTTTGCCCACCACAATACCACTTTCAAATGAAACTCAACAGCTTTGTTGATTTCAACATTAATTCCAGTTTTTGATAATTTGGGAGGGAGGGCATCAAAAGAAGTCCAATAGTGCATCACTCTGCCTGCTACCATCTTGTTTGCTCCTTCCTTACTTGCACCCCCTTATGAGCAATGTAATTCCTCAAATTCTTCACACAGTCTGTAGAGAGCAATTTTCCCCAGAATCCTGGTGCCAACTAACATCAAGGCCTGGAATAAAGGAGCTACAAGGGTAGAGTATGGACAGAGTATGGGGTGAGGGCTGGAGGTTCACATCCTACCCTAAGCCTTCATGTATTCCATAATCATTTATTGAGCATCCACTATCTGTGAGGTAATTGGGATATAGAGGCAAAGAAAAACAGACAAGATGTCTATTGTTATGAAGGTTACATCCCAGTAGAGGAGACACAAAATAAATTAATAAATAAGATGTGTTCCAATTGTGGTGAAAGTAACTTGGTGGGATGGATGGTGACTAATTAGCACAGAGTGGTCAGGTGTGGCCTGACCATAGAGCTGATATTTGAGCTGAGAGTTGAGAGGTAAAGGAATCAGCCATGCAATGAGGTTGAGACAAGTGACATAAACTGAAAGAACTATAGAGGCAAAAATTCTGAGACAGCAACAACTTCTGTGTGTTGTGGAAAAAGAAGTGAGAAAGTGGCCATAAAATATGAAGATATAGATACGTAGTGGCAGATCACATAAAGGGGTTAGATTGGGTTTTTTTTCTTTCTTTTCTTTCAGCATATTATGGGGGTACAAATGTTTAAGTTACATAAACTGCCTTTGCTCCACCCGAGTCAGAGCTTCAAGTGTGTCCATCCCCCAGAGTGCACCACACTCATTAGGTGTGTATATACCCATTCCCTCCTCCTCCTCCCACCTGCCTGACAGCCAATGAATGTTATTACTATATGTGCACATAAGTGTTGATCAATCAATACCAATTTGATGGTGAGTACCTGTATGTGGTGCTTGTTTTTTCAGTCTTGTGATACTTCACTTAGTAGAATGGACTCCAGCTCTATCCAGGATAATACAAGAGGTACTAGATCACCACTGCTTTTTGTAGCTGAGTAGTACTCCATGGTATACATATACCATATTTAGATGGTTTTTTTCTTAAGTTTCATGGAAATTTATTAGAGATTTTTAAAATATGAGTGATCCAATAGAATTATCAAAGTATTTTTTTCCGAACAAAATAAGCATTTCTTCGTATCTATTCATATACATGTTTCCCTCACCAGATTATGAGTACCCTGAAGCCAGGAACCATGTCTTTGTCATTTTCATCACTTTATTCAAGCAACTAGCCCAATGTCTACATGGTCAGTTCATGTTTTACAATGAAAGAAAAATGATTGAATAAATGAATAAATTATCATTAAAAACATGCTTCCCAAGCACTTCAATATATCTGTAGTATTTATGGAAAGACTTGGCAATAAGGAGATCATATCAGAGCGTTCTTGGCCTTCAACCATCTCACTGACTCCTGCCCCACCCCCACACCTCCTCTCATTCCCCTTCATGGCCCCATCATCAATCATTAAGCAAAGGCTTACCTTTGACAGTTGTAAAGTACTTCTGGCTCCACCTAAACCTGAAGCATTTATCAGAAGAATTCTGACATCTTTCAGAATTTTCTGATAAAAAAAAAATTCTAGTAAAGAATTCTGATAATAGCTATAAATATAAAAATAAATATTAACTGCTTAAACCAACAATATTAACATTTTATAGAAGTATAACATATAATGTATTTACAAAACACACACATTACTAGTGGGGATATATTCTGAGAAATGAATCGTTAGGTGAGTTCATTGTTGTGTAAGCATCACTGAGTGCACTTACACAAATCTAGATGGTACAGCCCACCACACACCTGGGCTGTATGGTACGGCCTATTGCTCCTAGGCCACAAGCCTATACCACATGTTGCTGTACTGCATGCTGTAGGCAATTGTAACACCATGGTAAGTATTTGTGTATTTAAACATATCTAAACATAACTATGGTATTATAATCTTATGGCTCACTGTCATATATGCAGTGCATTACTGACTAAAACTGAAATGTTGTTGTGTGATGCATAACTATATATACTTGACTAATCCAAAAGAAGACAAGAAAAAAGAAATAAGGAATAAAAAAAGATGTAATTAAAAAAATAAAATGGTAAGCATAAAACCTATATCAGTAATTACATTAAATGTAAATGGCTTTAAAATCAAATTAAAGGGAAAATATTGTCAAACTAGATTAAACAAAAACCAACCACATCTTTATACAAGAGACAGAACTTAAATATAAGTTCACAAAAATTGTGAAAATAAAAGAATGAAAAAATGCTATGCATGCAATGCAAACCTAACCAAAAGAAAGCTGATATTGCTACATTAATCAGATAAAGTAGACTTTAAGACAAGAGAAAAAAAGAATATTTCAGAATAATGAAAGGGACAACTCAATAGGAAAATATAGCAATCCAACATTTACACACAATTAACAACACAGCCTCCAAATACATAAAGAAAATCTGACAGAACTAAAAGGAAAAATAAACAAATCTGCAATCATAATAAAAGTTACAAGAAAAATTAAAAATTATTTTAAACTGAGGATACTATATGTTAAAATGTGTAACATAAATCAAAAACAATGCATATATTAGAAAAAGAAAAAAAATTTAAAATCAATGTTGTAAGCTTTCAGTTTAAGAGGCTAAAAGGGGAAGAAAAATTAAACCCAAAAGTAAGTAGAAGAAAGGAAATAATAACAATAAAAGTAGACATTGGTGAACTAGAAAACAGAAAGGCAACTGCAATTAAGAAAAATCTACAAAGGCAAAAAAAATAAGTGTTTTTAAAACATCAACAAAAATTAATTCAAGATGGATAACAGACTTAAATGTAAGACATGAAACCATATGAATTCTATAAGAAAATGTTGGCAAAACTCTTCTAGATATTGGCTTAGGCAAAGAATTTATGAAGAAGACCCCAAGGGCAATCACAGCAACAACAAAAATAAATAAATGGACTTGATTAAATTAAAAAGCTTCTGCACAGCCCTGGAAACATTCAACAGAGCAAATAGGAGAAAATATTCACATGCTATATATCCAATAAAGAAATAAAAGCCAGAATGTACAAAAATCTCAAGCAAATCAGCAAGAAAAAATTCAAACTACCCCATTAAAAAGTTTGCAAAAGACATGAACAGCAGCTTTCAAAAGAAATGGCCATTAAACATATGAAAAAAATGCTCAATGTCACTAATCATCAGAGAAATACAAATCAAAACCACAATGAGATATCACCTAACTCCAGTGAGAATGGCTTTTATCAAAAAGTCCCAAAATGATAGATGCTGGTGTGGATGTAGAGAAAGGACACTTATACACTGTTGGTGGGACTGCACACTAGTGCAACCTCTATGGAAAGTAGTATGGATATTCCTCAAATAACTAAAAGTACACCTACCATTTGATCAAGCAATCCCACTACTGGGTATTTACCCAAAGGAAAAAAAGTCATTTTTTTAAGAAGACGCTTGCCCTAGAATGTTTATTGGAGCACAATTCACAATTGCAAAGATGTAGAATCAACCCAAGTCCTCATCAATTCACAAGTAGATTAATAAAATGTGGTATATGTACATAAAGTACTACTCAGCCATAAAAAAAGGAATTAATACCTTTTGCTACAATCTGGATACAATTGGAGACCATCCTCCTAAGTGAAGTATCTCAATAATGGGAAAAAAAAACCACATGTACTCACTGTTAAATTGGAACTACTGATCAACACTCATGTGCACAGATGGAAGAAAAAGTCAATGGAAATCATGCAGGTAGAAAGGGGGAGGAGTGGAGGGAGGAAATCATACCTAATAGGACAATGTACACTATCTGTGTTTTGGGCAGACTTACAACTTTGACTCAAACGGTACAAAAGCAATCCATGTAACCAAAATATTTGTACCCCCATAATATTCTGAAATTAAAAAAATGAAAAATATCACTGTACCCTATAAATATATACAACTATTATGTACCCATAATAATTAAAAATAAAAAGTTTAAAAAAGAGAATACTGAAGACAAACGGAAGAAAAATGAACAATGGATGCATGTGGGCACAAAAAGACATAAAGGACATTGGAAATTAAGAAAGGGCAATGGTGAAGGAGGTGAGATATAAAATCTTATCTATTGTATACAATTAACACTATTCTGGGGGCAGACACACTGAAAGCTCAGACTTCAGCATTATAGAATGTATCCATGTAACAAAAACTTTTGTATCCCCTTAATATTTTGAAATTTTTAAAATGTACCAAAAAATCAATCAATTGTTAAACCCTAAATAACACTTATCAAGGAAAAAAAAGATACAAGATATAATATCAAGGAAAGAAAGAGAGCCATCATTATAGCTTCTACAGGAATTATAAGGACAATGTCATAAATATATCCCTACAAAATGCTCTTAGCCAGAATATGTAAAGAATTCATGCAAATCAATAAGAAAAAAATACAACTTTTTTCAAAGGCAAAAATCTCAAAAGGTAGTTCATTATAAAAGAATAGACAAATGTCAACTAACAAATAAGTATATTAGTAATCAAGGAAATGTAAATTAAAGCCACAATAAGACACTATCACATCTACATAAGGATGACTAAAATTAAAAGAACTAACAAAACCAAGTTTGGGTGAGGATGAAGAACAACTAGAATTTGCAAACACTGCTGGAGAGAGTACAATTGATATCCTTGTTCATTAGTAGCTACTAAAGCAGATATATGTGTCTCGATGACCCATCAGTTCTAATCCTGTGTATATAGCCCTCCAAAATGTGTGCTTATGTCCAACAAATGCATGTACAAGAATGTTCACAGTAGCTTTTTCATAAAACCCCCAAACTAGAAATAACCAAAATATCTAAGAGCAGAATGGGTGAATCTATAGCCACACTCAATGATATGAACCTCACAGAAAATTTTAGACAAAGAAGCTAGATACAAGCAGGTTCATGCTTGTATCATGAACCTCATGAGTCCATGTCTATGAAATTTAAAGTCAAAAAACTAATCTATGGTGTCAGAAGTGTCCTTTTGGGTGGTGTGCCTTGGCAAGTAGGAAGCATCAACAAGCTTTCTGGAGCACTGGAAATGTTCCATGTGTTGATCTGAGTGATAACACCATATGTGTATACATACGTAAAAGTGTATTAAGCCCTATACCTAAGATCTGTGTAGTACACTGTGAATTAGACCTTAGTGAAAAGTTACAAAAGTTATGTATTATTTAAACATTTTTAAAATAAAAACAAGTTAGCCATTAAGAATGTCATGTAATAATAATAATAACATACCTATTTCTTCTCCATAAGTGTATATATGTTCCTTTCGCACAAAACTACAACTGATTCATAATTATACTCTTCTTGGCGGCTAATAGGTGTTCAATATGTGATTGTAGAGTTTACAGAATTACAGTAATGGGAGGGCATAAGTTTATCATGTTTCCCCTTTCAGAGTGCTCTCTCTAACTCATCTGATGGTGCAGTCCAGATGGTAAATCTCTAGGAATTCATTGTTTCCACTGTGATGAGCCAATAAATCATGCCAGCTACCACATGGAGATATTCGAGCTTCTGAAAGTACCAACCTCAAATGAGCCCAGGAGCTGGCAGACACCTGGGAATGCTGAGATGTAACAGAATGTCCAATAATGTCAAGTGGCCTCAGTGAATGCTTGGAGGGTGCAAAATATAAATAGAATTCAAAACAGTAAAGCAACAGTGTAGGCAAAGGTGAGGTGCCACTAAGAACTTAAAAATGAGGTTACTCTTTGAAGACAAAACTATTAAAATCTGCTCCTAAAATATGACCCGAACCATCTGTCAATGTTGACCAATCTATTCTTAAAGAGTTCGGGGAAATGCTCAAAATTCTAATCAGGGTAATTAGGGAATAGACTCAAGAAAGCACAAATTATCCTAGCATACCTCAAACTATATACACATAGCATCAACTTGGCATGCCGGAGTGAGCAAACTCATCAGAGAAAAACAAACTGATTCTTGGTAACTTGGACAGAGCTGATAGCTCATCAGCTGCATTGAATCTTGTTTGAAGAAAGTATGTGCAAACACAATGGAGATGGTAGACATGCCATCTATAAAAGGCTATCCTAAAGGGAACAAATGTATGAGCGTTTGCATGCCCTAACTGTACTTCAGATCAGAAAACAGAAGTATTATGGTGACCAGAAAGGTGTTTACTGTTGGGCGACATTGGCATTTTCTGTATCATTCTTGTCTAGCTGCAATTGCTTTTGGGTCAAACCACTTCCTTTTGCTCTGATTCCTTTACTCAGAAATATTCTGAGAAATGTAAAGAGACCTTATTTTATTTCCCATATGGAGCCACATATGGGGAAAGAATGTGACCATGAGCATCAAGGTCTGATTTCTGATCATGGTTATTAACTAGCATTTGTTGAGCATTCTGAGAAGTCACTTACTGTGCTATCTTATTCAGGATAGGCTGGAAGTACTGTTTTAAAAACCCTAAATCTCAGTGGCTTAATCCAATAAATGTTT